GTGTGTGTGTGTGTGTGTGTGTGTGTGTGTGTGTGTGTGTGTGTGTGACTATATATGTAGCCCAAGATGACCTTGGATTCCTGGCATCTTCTGGAGTGTTGGCATTACACACATTCACTACTATGTCTGACTTGGTCAAAAACATTTTTAAGTATATATTCCAGTATGCCAAGCATTGTTTGAGCTTTGTGCACCCATCCTCTGTCCCCTCCATTTCTACCTTCATCAAGGAATGAGCACTGATAACAGGTATGGAAGTGTATGCTCTTGTTCCCAGCATTTAGGAGTTAGAGGCCAGTGGATATCTGTGAGTTCCAAGCTAGCCCGGTGTAGACATCAAGTTGCAGGACAGTTAGGTCCACATAGTGGTCCACATAGAGAACCTATCTAGCCAGACAAGCTAAATACCAATATAGCAATTGACATCTGCTGAACTTGTTATATTTCAGACATAGGACTTCGGTAGCCTTCCCACATCATACCTGCCACAAGAGACCATTCCAGGCAGGGGAACGCAGCTGACTGGTAGAGTTCTTTCATAGCTTATACAAGGTCCTGGGTTCAATTTTCAACAACACACCTAACACAGGACACACAATTCTCATAAGAGGGAACTGCTATGACTCCATTTACAGGTGACGAATCAAAAAGAGTCTCCAAGTCTCACACAGTAGGACAGTTGTTTCTGGATCCCTGTTGGGTAGGATTCTAAAGCCTAGGGTTGAAACCAGTGTCACAGATGGTCTTCAAAAGGCAGTACTGGAACTAATCTGAGAACCCCACTCCCACCATGTGCCCACCCACTAACAACTGTGCTCCAGGCAGACCCAGGAACCTGAGGATGACAGATTTATCTTTTCATTTCTCCAGTCAAGTCTGCTTCAGAGTCATCAGACCGTCCGTCAAAGCAAATGCCACATCAAGCCTACTGGACAGAGCAGCAGAACAGGGTTGGAGGGGCCAGGAGACTGCTGGGGTGGGAAGTGGGTAGGAGGTGGGCAGGTTGAGGCCTGGAGGAGTGGCAGAGTGGGGCAGGTTTCAGGAGAGCGGGGCAGGTAGGCTGGGGAGGTCACGCGGGGAGCATTTCAGCTCCAGACAGAACTGGGGTCCCTTGGTTGTTTTCCAGCTGCCCCTGCCCCTGATGGAACTCATGGAGAATGAAGTTCTGGACATTCTCAACAAAGCCCTCGGCAGTGAGCACCCCACACCCTACCTTTCACAGAATATCCTGGTGGTTTGGCAGGGCTTGGGGCTGTGGGAGTGGAGTTTCCGGATGTATTTGTCTTGTCAGATCCCATTAGCACTCACAAGTATTCCAAGGGCTCCCTAAAAATTAAAAGTCAAGACACTAGGCACAGGAGACTCAGAAGACTTAAAAAGAGTCCCTTTGTAGTGGGTCTGTTTTCTCCACGTGTCCAGTGTAATGACAGAGAGCCTTTGTTTAGTTTTGCTTCACTCCCAGGTGGGGGAGCCGTGACACATCTGGGTCATTTGGGTAAATTTATTGGATATTGAATTATCTGGGTAGCCAGATTATGATATAGGAGCATATAGAGGGAAGCAAGGGCCACATGGTTAGTTAGAGTGGGTGGGCCAGGAGGAGGCCATACAGCTGCTGGTTCTCACTGCTCTAGGTTCAGGCTTTTAGCATCTTCTTCAGCCTTCTTCACTTCCGTTCTTCATATAGCACCTAGGAGATCCAAAATTTTCCATACTAACAAAGACCCAAACCCAGCATTAATTACCACACCTGTGGTTCCTCAAATCACACTGTGAAACACTAACAGGAAAAACCTTTGAGGTTGCTTACGGCCCTGCACTCAGCTCTGTCCTCTTCCTAGCATATAAGTCCACGATTGGCAGGAACCACTTCATGACGAAACAGCTGCAGGGGTACATCGAGGAGCTCAAGAAGCGCCGGAACAGAAGGCTCAACTGTATGGCCTCAACTGTATGTGAACCTCCAGCTCAAATGGCCGACGAGATGTCAGCCCCGTGCCCTATCCCGTCCCCCAGACCCAACTTCGACCCCATCCGCATGGAATTGGAGCCCTAGAGAAATTAAAGAGTCTATGCATGGTTCCGGAATCAGTGCGTGGTTGCTTGCGTGAGGCGGACGCACGTGGCCCCGCCTTTCCCTGTGACCTTCATTCGGTCACCGCAGTGACCTTGAGTTTTCTCCGCTCGCGTCTCATCAGCACAGCCTTCCAGGAATTCGCAAACCAAGGCTACTGGCATGTTTAGGTCTGCTTCTTCTAACCTAAGGGTCCGCAGATGTGCTAGCCTACCAAGTCTGTCAAGTGTCCTAACAACATTGGGTTGGGGGGGGAGTAGCGCCTCCGTTAGGCCCCACCTCTCATGCATATGCAGCAATACAAACCCGCCCTCTCATTTACATACACGTTCAACGCACGTAGAGTCCACTGAGAGACCATGCCCACTCCTGTAAGGCGGAGCACCGCCTACCTCCGTGACGCAAAAGCGCTCCGGCTCCTCCCCGCTCTGGCTCCGCATCCTCGCGCCTAGCTTAGGCTCAGACCCCGCCCCCGGGGCGGCCGCGCACGCGTGTGTATCGTCAAGGCCCGCCTACTGGCCTTCGGGCACGCAGGCGCCGCCCGCCTCCTTACGATATTAGCATAGGGCGCCTAGCCCCACCCCCTGTTTTGCATGCGCAGGCCGACCCCGCCTCCGCTGTCAGCTGGAGGAAGCGGAGTAGGAAGCGGCCGCGATGTCCTTTTGTGTCCTACAAGCAGCCAGCGGCGCCGCCGAGTGAGGGGGACGCAGCGCGGCGGGGCGGTGCGGCCGGAGGAGGCGGCCCCCGCTCACCCCGGCGCTCCGGGCTGCTCGGCCCCCATGCCTGCCCGCCAGCCCTGCCGGAGCCCCAGGTCCGGGGGCGGAGGGGAGCGCGGCCGCGGGGGTGGGCGGGCGCGGCGGGGGCCATGTGCGAGAGCAGGCGGGGGGCGGGCTGCGGGCGGGGTCGCGCTCGGTGGCGGCCGGGTCAGGACTAGCTTCGGGTCCTGGCCTCGGGTTAGTATCGGCCTCGGAGCGAGCCCCCGGGCAGCGTTCAGCTCGATCCTTGAGCATTGCGGGAGTCCTCGGGTGGGCTGGGGTTGAAAGGGGCCCTAGAGGCCACGTGGGGGCGCTTGCAGGGGCTTTCGGCCACCCGTTTCTCTGGGTCATAGGTCACCGTAGCGCGGGGGAGAACTTCTTCCTTGTCGCCTCTTCTTACTTCCTGATAACCTGATAGAAGTCCCCCGCGGGCAGTGGGGGAGGGGAGACAAGTAACTTCAGGCAACTTCCATAGGTGTGCGCAGGTTGGGGGGCCACCCCCGGAGGTCGCGGGAGGTGGTGGACTCTGCGGCAGCTGGAGTGTTAAGAATGAACCATGCAGGCCCGGGGTGCAAGGAGGTGGAGCCGCGCCCTACACGGCGTGGCCGGCCTGGGATTGCTAATGCAGGAGGGGGTAGCGTGTCAGAGGTGAGAGGTTCTCTCACAGGAGTCTGGAGAGTGATTATAAGACTTTAATGTGAGTCTGCTTATGAGTGTGCTCTTTTGCTGGGAGTATGTGTGAACTGACTGGTTAAAGGCCATGTGTGAGAGGAGAGAGTGAGCATGTGTTGACAGTGGAAACTCCTGAGAGAGTGGCCACATCCCCCACCCCCGCCCCCTCGGTTCCTCAGTACCCAGTACTTGGGAGTACGTAGATGGAGCCCTCCCATTATCTGGAGAAAACTGTGAAGAGGTATCATGCTTATGTTTGGGGGTTGAGAGTTCCCTGCAGGTCGAGGTTAACTCCTGCTCCTGGCTTGGGTGGGAGCTAGACTTGCCAAACCTCTCCCCGGTTCCCGAGAGGAGGACCTGCTGTCAGTTACTGGCCCCAGAGGCTCTGTTCCCATGGCGACAGCTGGGGGCCGTCTTCATGGGCAGCCCTTCCTTGGACTCTGCTGCTTCCTTCCTCTCCTTGGCTGAGCCTGGAAGCCTGGCCTAGGCCCAGTGTTGCCCAACCCATGTGGCAGGGTGCTCCCTGTGACCCTGATGGTCTTTCCCTGCAGGTGACCAGCATCATGTCCAGCCAGGTGGTGGGCATCGAGCCTCTCTACATCAAGGCAGAGCCAGCCAGCCCTGACAGCCCAAAGGGTTCCTCAGAGACTGAGACCGAACCCCAGGTGACCCTGGCCCCGGGTCCAGCTCCAGCCCGCTGCCTTCCAGGGCACAAGGAGGAGGAGGATGGGGAGGGGGCAGGATCTGGCGAGCAGGGCAGTGGGAAGCTGGTGCTCAGCTCTCTGCCCAAGCGCCTCTGCCTGGTCTGTGGGGATGTGGCCTCCGGCTACCACTACGGTGTGGCATCCTGTGAGGCCTGCAAAGCCTTCTTCAAGAGGACCATCCAGGGTGAGCCCCTACCCCATCCCCTGCTTCTGTGCCCTTTGCCCTGTACCCTTTGGGCCTGGCACCTTCCAGCTGGTACAGTGCTGCATGCAGAGGCCCTGAGCCTGTCTGGTGCTGCTTGAGGTTGGCAGTCTGGAGTTTGAATTTCCTTGTACTTCTGAGGGCCATCATTTTTTTAAAGAGGCATGATGGCTGGGAATCTAGCTGAAGTTAAGGAGAATGCTTGCGGAGCTTGAAGGAGGCTCTAGCTTCTGTCCTCAGCACCATATAAACCAGGTCTGATGTACACCTAAAACCCTCAGGTCTTTGGAGGTAGAATTAGGAGCATCAGAAACTCAAGATCATCATTAACTACATAGTAAGTTGAAGGCCAACTGGGGCTATGTGAAAGTGTCTCCTTCACCCTTCAAAAAAAAAAAAAAAAAAAAAAAAGGCTGGACAGTGATGGCACATGCCTTTAATTCCAGCACTCTGGAGGCAGAGGCAGGTGCCTGGTCTACAGATTGAGTTCCAGGATAGCCAGGGCTACACAGAAAAGAGAAAAGTCCTGTCTCAGAGAATCCCCCCCCCCCCCAAAGAAAAAAAAGAAAAGAAAAAGCTATTAGCATAAATTGCCGGATTGGATTGGAATGGGATATCAGCCAGGACGACCTGTTACAAAACTTTGCCCCTGACTATCTTATTTGCTCCTGACTTTCTTAGTAGCTGCCTGCTAATCCCCAGTACAGCACAGAATCACTTTTCTTGATTCCTCCAAAGCACCACACAACCAACTTAGGGAAAGTTTTTAATGGGTAACTGATAAAGGTTTGTTGTATTTTAGCCTCCAGCTTTAAAAACATAGGTTCTCCACTCTTCAGCCACTGATTTTTTTTTCTCTCTCTCTTACCCAGGAGAGCATGTAAGAATTTGAGGACAAGATGAAAATATTGATGTGAACATTCTCTGGGGCTGGCCTTTTATTTTTATGCAACTATTGGTTACTTTGAGGCTATAACATAATTTACAAAAAAAAAAATATTTTTTGAGACATTATCTTATTATGTAGCTGGCCTGGAATTTAATGTGTCTTCCAGGCCTGGAACTCTCCATTCTTTTGCCTCAGACTCCCAGGGGTGCCATGGTTACAGGCAGACACCACTGTAGCTGATTTTAAATTTTCCTTAGCACGTATTTATCTTGTGTATGCTTGTGTGCTTGCACCCACTGTACGTTATGTAGAGGTCAGAGGGTAACTTGGGGAAGTAGTTTCTTGGCAGCCACCATCTGGAACTTGAGGATTGAACTCAGGTTTGGCAGCAAGTGCCCTTACCTACTGAATCATCTTGCCAGGCCTCAACTGGTTTTAGAACATTGTTTTTCTTGCGTGTTTATCCCGTGCTAGGTACTGCCCCCTTTTACCTTCAGGATCTCAGCCCCTTATTGCAACCCTGTGAAAAGGCCAGTGGTGAGAGCTGAAGCAGAGGGAGGCTTTTGTAGCTCCCCAGTCCTCGGGGAGAAAGCGACAGCCCTGGGGTTTGGTGCATGATCAGAGCTGAGCTCTTACACTTGAGACTGCTGCCTCTGTATCAATAGTAACTTGGACTTTGGACCACTAATAGTGACATTCCAGTGAGGTATTTTGTGCGGTTTTTGTTGTTTTGAGACAGGGTTTCCCTGTGTAGCCCTGGCTGTCCTGGAACCAGGCTGGCCCTGAATTCACAGCGATCTGCCTGCCTCTGCTTCCCAAATATTTTGATTAAAGGTGTTAATGTGTAGCCATGATTGGTTACTAGTGAGTTTTGAGTTGGCTCAAGTGCACCAGTCTAAACTACTTCTTGCTGGCCAGAGCGAGGTGCCTCCCATCCACCTTCCTTCTGACAGCGCTAAACCTAAATTACCCTCATTCATTTTTCTTTCTTCTCGCTCTCGCTGGCTCTATTTTTCTCAACCCGCCTTTTAAAGTACGATTGTTTTGGAGGGTGAGGGAGAGTGCTAGTGACGGAACTCAGGGCCTCATGAATGCTAACCACACACCACACCAATGAGCTACACTCTGGCTTCAAGTACGTGTTTTTATCATGCCAACTTTACAGTTAGGAAAACTGAGAGCTCATAGATATTAGGAGTAGGAAGAACACTGGGGTGGTGATGGCACATGCCTTTAATCCCAGCACTCTGGAGGCAGAGGCAGGCAGATCTTTATGAGTTCAAGGCTAGCCTGGTCTACAGAGTGAGTTCTAGGATAGCCAGGACTACACAGTTAAACCCTGTTTTGAAAAACCAAAAAAAAAAAAAAAAAAAAAAAGGATAGGAAGTATATAAGATCAAGATCATAGTTGAAACTCAGGAGGCAGAGACAGGTGGATCTCTCTTCATTTGAGGCTAGCCTGATCATAGGAAGACCCTGGGCAGACAAAGCTATATAGAGACCCAAGTCTCAAACACATAAATACATAAATAAGCCACAGATGATAAGTCCCCACAGTCCAGGCTGGCTTCCATCTTAAGATTCTCCTCCCTTGAGTTACAGGCGGGTGCTCTAGCACCCAGATTGTCCTTTGCTCTTTACTACCCTGGCCTGTGTTCCAGAGATATCTGGGACTGAGGCTGGGGAGGTGAAGCTGACTTGGTCAGAACTGTCCTGTTTGATCTGTAGCATGTGTTGGAAGGCAAGGAGCAGGACCAGGGCTGAAGGGCAGCTTCCCTGAGGAGGCATCTTT